ATTCGTGGGCGGGGCCTGTGGCTAATGTGACGTCACATTAGCACCAATGCTAAAAATAGGCCATTGGGAGACACTGCTTATTATTTATGGAGATTAAAAAAAAAGGAGTGGGTGGATTTTTATCATTATAGGGTGCAGTACACACACTGCCAACACACATTTATGTCCAAACACCTTGCAAAAGTGAATTTTGCATAATAGGTCCCCTTTAAGATATTAACTAAATCCTGCACAATTTACTCAGTACATTTTATGTCTTTGTTTTACAGAGGACTTTATGGAAAAAGAAGAAATGGCAAAAATGGTGGAGAAAAAGAAAAATTGGAGACACTGACACCTCCTTTCCTCAACGTTCATAATCCCACATGTCTTGAGATCAGGCCGTCTCAAATGCACAACGGGACGCCTGCGGATTGCAAAAAACAATCGAAACAGAGGAGAGGTCCAGAACACAAAGGGATCGAGAACAGTTTGGGAGAAAGTGGCTCTGAAGATGAAAGATATCAAGACAAAAGCAGATAATGGATAAAAGGAGAACGAATTTCAGCTGATGTAGATGTTTGGATTTCCCATCGACTGGTTTTCTCACATGAATGTTTGTTTTATTTTCGTTTGCATATTTGACATTTTGACTCGTACATCATCACACCTGTAAATAAATGTGAATACAATCACGTTTGTATCACAGTAAAAAACACACCACGCTTCACAACAAATTGCACATGCCGTCATTACAATCCTTCAAAATGACACTCAAATCCCAGCCAATCAGCAGGACTGTTGTGATGCATCTGATTGGAGATTTGCCCTGTGGGTGGGGCTTAGTTTGGGGAGGTGGAGTTTCGGATGCTCATCAACATAAACCCACCCATTTCTGTTGCACCTGATGGTGTCAGTCTGTTTGCTGGTATATCATATTTTATGGCTATTTTCTTTCAGTATTTTGATGGATATTATGAATATTGTTTGTATTTGCATATTTATTAATTATGATGAATAAACAAAGTTTAAAAATTTATGTTGTCATAAAAGAAGTATGTTGTCTATCATTCTGGGACGTGGCAATGGGACGTCCACTAACACACACTTCTATTTTGACTTCACAGGGTTTCTGCAGGTTTGATGAAGATCAATTTAAGACTTTAAGAGCTTTTTAAGACCAAGTAAAGAAAATGTAAGCAATAAATTGAATGGAACACGATATGTCAATATGGTCTCTAAATGTAAATGTATTGTATTAGCAAAACTTAAAAGTTTGAAAATACAACTTCCAACAGATCTCCATTACTTTTTCCATTTATTTTACAAAAAAAATAAGCTTATGGCTTGAATATCCCTGCTCCTAATCACTAGAATATGGAAATAACTTTTATTGTCCGTTCTTATGCAAAAAAAAAAAAGTGTTTTTTGTCTTATCTAAAGATTCTTAAATCAAGATGCATTGACTGGCGATATAGATAATCCGTCTTGTTTTATGATAAATTGATTAAAATAAAGTGAGTTTATGATTAAAACAAAAACAAATATCTGCCAATGAGCTGAGAAAAATCAACTTAATTCAAAGAAAAAATAGGTTTTCATTCCCCACTGACATGTTTGTTCTTGTTTTTTTAAAATAAACTCACTTGTTCTATTTTTCAGAAAACAAGACCTCGTATGTTCATTTAGCATCTCAAGTAAATGTATCTTGTTTTAAAGATGTTTAGATATTTGCATTGGAAAACAAAAAAATACTGAGGAAGATATTCATCAAACTGTGATGAATTTAAGACTTTCTGCTCCCATTTAGGCCTTAATTTGTGGAAGAGTGAATTAAAGGGGTCATATGATGCGATTTCATTTTTTCCTTTCTCTTTGGAGTGTTACAAGCTCTTGGTGCATAAAGAAGATCTGTAAATTTGCAAAGACTAAAGTCTCAAATCCAAAGAGATATTCTTTATAAAAGTTAAGAGGTCAATCACAACGCACTGGATAGCTGGCTAATCAGAGCACACCTCGCTTTTCAGACCGATTAGTTTTGTAAAAATCGACGCGTTTCAGAAGGCAGGGCATAGAGGAGAAACAATAATGTACAGTATGTGGAAAATAATGTGTTTTTTTTACTTTAAACCGCATAAACACATTTCATTACACCAAATACACAAAATAATGTTCTTTTTAGCAGCATCATATGACCCCTTTAAAGCATTTTAAATAATAAAAGCCATGCTCCTATGCATGTCTGAATGTAGGACATCTGTATGCCGCAAAACATGAAACGCAACTGTCGTTGAGCGATTTTCATCTTTTTATGTTGCTGACCCTGACTGGAGAAGATTTGTAGGCCGACCCGTACATTAGGATAGAATATTTCCAATGACTTTTAGATTATTGCAGAAAATAAGCCCTGTGACCAGCAAACGTTTATGATACTTACACGTTTTGTTCATCATACAACTTTATGCATTTTGAAGCCTAAATGCAATCACCAGAAGTATAAAGCTAAACGTAGACTATCAACGAACCACACTATCAGCGTCACCTCCAATGAGCTTCCCAAAACTCTTTCAGCCTTTATTAAAAACATTTTCCCTTAAAGTTTAACCCTCAGGTTGTGTTCAAATCCCTTTAACACTTTGTGGTGTTCCCGGTCAAAAATGACTGGGGCACAAAAAACAGCTTATAAATCTCTTGTTATGCTATATTACCACCAAATATTGGTATCAATCTTTTTGTCAGCTTGTTTTCTTTCAATTAGGACTGGTTTTGTGTTTATTTTTGGAACTGATTCACCGTAGGCCTCATTAATCTGAGCTTACGTACATCGGTTTTTGAGTGAAAAAAGCATGATTTGTGGATAATTGTGTCAATATTAAATAAAATATGAAAAACATTTGCACTGTTTATCACACTAGCATGCTCTAATGTTTAACCAAGAAATTTGTTTTGAAAAGCTTTTATTTTGTGCAAAATGTTTTTAAAAAATTGCAAAAAAATCACACTTGTGGTGTTCCCGGTCTACAAAAAACAGCTTATAAATCTCTTGTTATGCAATATTATCACCAAATATTGGTATCGATCTTTTTGTCAGCTTGTTTTCTTTCAATTAGGACAAAAAAAACCCCCAAAAAAACCTAGCTACGTGTACTGCATTAAGCTAACTGAGACTTGTTATAGCACTTGCATATCAATCTTTTGTTGATTTTTGTTTACTTCCATTGTTCTCATCATTGTAAGTCGCTTTGGATAAAAGCGTCTGCTAAATGACTAAATGTAAATGTAACATTTTCGGGAGAAAGAAAATTCTCTCCGGGTCAAAATGACCCGAACACAACCTGAGGGTTTAAATAAAGTCAAAACAGTTTGCAAAAATGTGATTATAAATGCAATGAGGCTATGAAAGCGACCGCTGTAGTCCCATTTAACCATATTTCAAGACAAGAAAAAAGGGCGTTACTGATGTATTTTACATCGTAGAATAAAACATGAAAATATCTTGAGCTTGTGTTCAGGCATTTAACCAAAAACCCATTCTAAACACCCATTGACTTCAATGCGATGGAAGCGGGAGTGCTAAAATGCTCATTTCTGGGTTTTGGCCTACAAAAATAGCAGCAAACCCTACAAAGCAGTCCCAAAAGCACTTTTGGGGGGCGATGAACCAAATAATTCCATCATTGGTCAATCAACTGCAATTTTTCTTAATTTCAATCTGGCCAGACCGCGGTTCGGACCTGGTTTTAACTCATGTTTTAACTCATCTTCCTTCTGTTCCCACTTTGGTTTCACAACTTTCCCCTCTGATTAACCGCAGCGGGTTAATACGCCGGTCACTGGCCCGTCTTTCCACGGCAAACGAATGTTTCTCATCGAGGAACCAGATTGGATCAGTTTTCTCAGACTCGCTCGGACTCATTCCAGTTGTCTGACTTCATTTCTGCGTCTTCTGAGTCAAACGGAGAAAACTCAAGGGAACACGAAAGAAGCTCGACGCTTATTTTCCACCAGTCTCTGAATAAAAGCAGCTAATCAATTTTTACTGAATACTTTTAAACCTTCCCTCAGTATTTTTCCATTCGCTGTTCCCGTCTGTTGTTCATCGACCAAATAACACTAAAGCCATTGGATTATTTGGTAGATGAACAACAGGCCAACAGACTTCAAATCAGTTACTAGTTCTGCTCACTCATATTTCAGTATTTATAAAGCATGCATTTGATCTTATTGAGCTACTCTTAACATTTTGCCTGCTTTAGCTTGTTGTCCATTATGTCCTGATGTATTTTTAATAGTTTCGGACAGTTGTTAGAGATTCAAGGATGACTAGTTGCACTATTACAATGCTGGCTCGAACACTGGATTTTTTGTATGAATCATTTGTTTGAACCAATACTTTTAAACATCTTTGTATCAAACAAGAAGATCTATAATTAACTGAGGAATACAATCCTGTTCATTTCAATACCAGCTGCTTCAAAACACTTAAAATCACTGGAAACATACCCCTAAAACAGCTGTGATTGTTTTGTTCTTTTCTGTCTTTTTCACTTCTTGTGAGTTTGCATCCCTGGAAAACTGGGGATGTGTGTTTTTATGATAACAACATGAGCTAAATGTATTCCCAAAGTAATAACAGTGATAATGCAGCATTCTTCCAAGATTACTGTAGAAGAAACCTGGAAATGTTTCTGTTTTTACAAAAATACCACACAATCAATCCATTCTTTGAAATAATACATTAATAAATAAGTCATCACAAGCAGCTTTATATAATCACTATGACTCATAACTAACTTTACTTGCACTTTTCATTGAAGGAATCCAGATAATGATGTCTAGTTTAGATTAGAGTTGATGAAAAGTCGCTTTGGATAAAAGTGTCTGCTAAATGCATAAATGTAAATGTGAAAAGCTAAAAATTTATTAAATCACAAAAATGTAAAATTAAAATAAATACATTTACAATATTTTTGTTTTATAATAAAAATAATTTTTTATAATTTTTTATTACTTTACAATAAATCATGTTAAATGCAAACAATTAATACAAATATTTTTTAAATATATTTTTAAAATAATATTTTAATAAAATATACTAAAACTAAGCATATTTTAAAAATATTTTATTTATCTGCATGTGACGTGAACATTTATAATATTTGTATTATTTTATAATAAATCAATTTTACTAAAAATATACAGCTACAATTATTTAAAAAATTATATTTTAATAAAATTATATTAATACTAAAAATATATTTTTTTATATTTTATTTGTTTATCTGCATGTCACATGAACATTTATAATATTTTTATTATAATAAATCAAGTTAAATACAACAAATGTATAAAAATAAATATTTTACTAAAAAATACTAATACTAAAAATTATTTTTAAAATTATATTTTACTAAAAAAAATACTAATTCTAAAAAAATCTTTGCTTATCTGCATCTCATGCGAACATAAACTGGCATGATCAGAGAAGTGTGCACATATGTGGTTAAATTATTTAAATATTGTACAGTGTTTGCTCTCTAAAATCTTGGTTATATGTGCAGTCTCATAAGCATTCATCATTTTATTTTGGGGATGTCCGTCATGCCCTCTCCTTCCAAAACATGGGGTTTTTGCTGACCCCTTCATCTGTGTGACACCCAATAGTTCACATCTCAGGTCAGGAGGAACTGTACTTTCCACTCTGTTGACTTTTAGCTAAAATCAGTATATAAATAAAAGTCTGTGCACGTGTTTACCTGTAAATAGTGATTTACAAAAACAGACGGATCTGAGTGATAAAAGTTTCCTCTATGAAGTGTTTATGCACTTGATGTGTCACAGACACTGAGCAAATTCTCATGAACTCATTCGAGCATTTATAATTTCATTGTAAAATTTGATTCATTTCATGGAAAAGGACAGATTCGACTCTTCTGGCAGCATCTGAGGGTGTATTCACACCTG